ATCCTCACAGTCATATCATATCATATCATATCATATCATATCATATCATATCATATCATATAAAATCAAACGAGATTGGATTGTGGGAAAAGCAATGTTTGTCAACACAAATGTCGCACATGCGCGGCGCGACGACTACCGCCCTTTAAATTGTAGTGCAGCTTCTTCGACAGTGTGCCAGAAACGAAATGTGACGATATTGTACATTGCTATTCACCGGAGTGCGGAGTGTTTCCTGCAGCATCGACCAACTCTCTGATTTCTTTCGTTTACCGTATATCCCCATTCCTTGCTGGTTCAAGTGACTACCCCGTACTATTTATTTATTTATTAAAGTGAGAGAAACTTTGTATATTGTGTTGTTCTGATTTATTGCATTGGTTACCGTGACGGCGGACGATCTAAAAGGAGAAACTTATAAGGTAAGCACGCTACCCGGACCGTCTATTATTAGAAGTCGCCCCACAAAGGCCCTCCTTTAGTTTACGTCACATTATGTTCTTTCTTGACAATCATTGACTGAACTCACTCCAACATGGACGCTACTGTGACGGTTGATTTCCGGGGTGACATAGCTGTACTACGAATGAACACACCTGAAAACAGAATGAATCTCCTACTCATATCAGCTGTAGATGAAGCCTTGGATCGTATTGAAAGGTATTCTTTATGAGATACGTCAACGTGCCACAAATAGGGCGGACGACGTGAGTCTAAATGCAAGCTGGAGTGTATGTATCCAATTAGGCCGTATATAAGATGTCCGTCACACCAGGAAACCATTTAGACGATATAATACATACGTGCATATTTACAATAGTAATTAGAAAATAGTCATTGATTTCCGGATGATTGACATTGCTCTGGGCGATTCAGTTCTTCTGTCGAGTGGTCCGGTACAATCCGAGAAGGTACAATTTCACTTGGTCATTGGGGGGGGGGGGTCTAGGTATTTTTTTAACCTCTCATAACTATTCTTTTTCCCCAAACATCATCTAATATTGGTGATGATTGTTTGACGATTTAATAATAATTTGATTGTAAATCAAACTAAATAAAACTCAGATAATTGGTAAAAAATAAACGTATAGAGTAACCCTATAAACATTACAATAAGTACAATATTTCCATGTAATATACTGTACTTCTTATTTGGGTAGTATGGAGACGCAAGTATAATACCATTTCAATCGACAACCAACCAATGGTCAGACATGTAATTCACGATATAATAACTCTTTATTAATACCGGGAAGCATCGTCTCGCAAGACAATCATAGCATTAGGCAACCTAAGTACAAGACTACTAGTCCTTAAATAAGCCATGGCTCGTAAATCATACGGAGGTTGGCTTTCATTTGGGAGAGGCAATGAAATATTTATAAATGGTATATTCAAACTGTCCATTGCCATACATGGCTTTGTGACTTCAAGTAAGTCCTGGTTAATTAACTTTGCCTATTGATGGGAGTTTTATAAGTTGCTGTAGGAAGTCCAAGTATTCTAAAATAAATAGAATCCCATATGTTTCCTGGCCTGCATTCCATTAAATTGTGTGTGGCCAACGCCCAAGCATGGACGCTATTTAGCTCTGTAGCATATCATGACATACCACCTTTCTTATATTCTTCAATATTTCTGTAAATGACTCTAATTGTGGAGCCAACAGGCAAAATTTGAGCCAATTTTCATTTTTTCTGAAAAAAATGGCTATAAATTTTTTGGGGAAAGTGCAAACTATAACCGGGACTTTTTTGTGAATTTGTGATGAAAATAGGGAACTGGTGAGGAAAAGGCTGGACGACCGTGATATCAACGTATGGCCAATGTTTCTAGAACCTATTTTATATGAATAACACAGTGTCTGCTGCCGTACATAACATAACTCATGTTTCACTTTCAGATCCAATGCAACCGCACTGGTAACAATTGGAACTGGTAAATTTTATTCTAATGGTATGACAGCTGAAGATTTTTACATAAAAGATCTAACAGCTAGTTACAGAATGTTAAAAAAATGGAATCAATTGACAACAAGGATGCTGATTTTCCCAATGCCCACGGTGGCGGCAATAAACGGTTAGAAAATAATGATTCATATTAAATTACAGTAACATTCCCGAAATTCCCTGACAGAAATCAAAATGACATTGCCCTTTGAATTGCTTTAACAGGTCACTGTTACGGTGGGGGTTGTATATTCGCTTTGGCCCATGACTATCGTGTTATGCGAAAAGACAGGGGGTGGTTTTGTTTGCCTGAATCACGCCTGAAGGCGAGTTTTACACCAACTTGTAAATTAATAATGAGGTGAGAATTTATTTAAAGAATCGATCCACAATAACAAAAAAATTATCATTGATCATACATGGTATAAAGTTCGGTTCATAGTAATCAGTCGTCCACGCACACATCAGGGCAGCGAGAACAAGAATCATGTACCAAAAAATATATATTGAATCAATTCGCTTGATAAGAAGGATCAACGTTTACCATCAGCAGGGTCATCGAAAATACATCATACGAATCAGATCAATCACCACTTCTATGTAATTTGCTTCTCCCACTGTTGCAGTATTGTACGGGTGTATGTGACTTTTTAAAGATGCCAAATATAGTAATTGCACTGTTTTTAATATTGCCATAGATACAAGATACCGGCAGGAAGTAAATTTTCTGATATGGTGATATTTAGTAGAAAATACAACGCTGAAGAATTGTTACACACTGGAGTAGTGTGTGGGATATCTAACGATGCGGATTTATTAGATCTAGCGAAGGCAGTTATTCAACGGTGTTTAGGTGTATATATAACGTGCTCTAAATATTGTGGTTAAAAAGGTCGATAGACGCGCAAAGTTTGGAATTTGCCTCTTTGATTGGTTGTGTTTGGGTAATTTGAATGTATTATTGTATTCATTTTGTTTCAGGAAAAAAATGTTTTGATCGAGATTCGTTGAAAGTTATGAAATCGGATATGTACAGTGATGCAGTGAGCTGTCTGACTACGTTTCACACACCTGAGTCAACATCGTCAAAACTATAGTCAAAATAGATTCGTGTTGTGTTGTACCTGAACGATAATATTGTAATGGCACAATTTAAGATATAAGAGCAGAAATATTGCTATCTGTTCTGCCCAGCCACATTGACTCACGTTGCACTCAGTGGCCTTGTGGGTGGGAAGGGGTAAGTGGGTCTTATCAGTGGACGTTTTTATCTATTATTAAAACATGTTGTTAATTGAATTGTATTTAATGGATGTTTTGTTTTGTTTTATTACTAGTATTACCAATTTAACGGACGGTTTTTTATTCATACTTTTCTTGGAAAGTACTCTTTCTTAGATCCAAACAGTACCTCTTTTTATATGTGAATTAATTGATAAAGAAATAACGTTTCCTTATGTGTGTTTTATTTCACATATAAAAAACGTA